TCCCAAAAGGACTTGCAGATGTGATCAAAGACATGACTGAGAAATCATGGAGCTTGAGAGAGGCATCAAGGAGCCGCGGCAAGGAGGTGTCTTTATATATGGAATGGATATTTGGGAGAAGCAGGGTGGCCTCTTAAGAGATGGTGTCACGACAGATGCGGGTTCAGATTTCAGCGCTTGGTCACTCTCTATAGGAGCTTGGGCAAGTTGCTTAACCTCGTTGGGTCTATTTTGTCACCTGAACATGATAATGCATTTATTAATCACCTCTTGGGTGTATTGGAAGGCTTCACTGAAATGGTGTACAATCATCCTAGGGACTGGCATGGAGCAAGCTTTAAATAAATGCTAACAATGATTTCAACTACAAAAGGTTATAATAATTATAGAAACTAGTAGGCTGAGACAACTTCAGCCATATTTAACAAAAAGTGATTTCCTTCCTCCTCTGCCTGTAGAACCATTGATTTCTTTCCAAGACTCCTTTTCCTTAGAAAGTTGCCTGTGCTTATTTATCTCCCTTTCTTTACCTTCCCCTCTCTCTTAAATCTGCATCAGTTTTTTTAAATAACAGCTTTATTGATAAATAATTCACATGCCATCAAATTCACTCTTTTAAAGTATACCGTTCCAAGTTTTTCTAGAATGTTCCCAATGTCATGCAACCATCACAACTACCTAATTCCAGAATATATTCGTCATCCCCAAAAGAAACGTCATGCCCTCTAGTGGTGACTCCTTATTCTCCCATGGCAACTGCTAATTTACTCTGTCTCTATGGATTTGCCTTTTCTGGACATTTCACATAAATAGAATCAGACAATATCTGGCCTTTTATGTCTGGTTTCTTTCATGTGGCATAATTCATTTAGCATAATTCTTCGACTTAGCAGTTCTTCCTTCCTTTTTATGGCCGAATCATGTTCCAATGTGTGGCTGTACCGCATCTTATTGATGCATTCACTGCTTGATGGGCATTTAGGTTGTTTCCCCTATTTGACTGTTGTAAATAATACTGCTATAAATATTCATGTGCAAGTTTTTGTGTGGCCATATGTTTTCATATCTCTTGGGCACATGCTTAGGAGTGGAATAATTCTGGGTTATATGGAAACTCTGTTTAACTTTTTGAGGAAGTGTCAAGCTATTTTCCAAACCAGTGATACTCTTACATTCCCACCAACAGTGTAGGAAGGTTTTAATTCTCCATATTCTCGCCAACACTTGTTATTGTCTTACCTTTTTTTTTCTTTAATTGCCTTTCTGTTGAATAGGAGGTGATATTTCAGTGTGGCTTTGCTTTGCATTTCACTACTGACTAATGATATTCAATCTGTTTTCAGTTAAGTGTTTATCCCCCTGATTTGACTGGAACCAACTCAAGCTTTCAACAACATTGACACTGATGATTATTCCTTCCTTCTTGAAATTCCCTCCTCTCTCAGCTTTAGCACTGACCCTCTCCTGACTTGTCTCTTTCCTCACCATATCCTTAACTTTGAATCCTTTTTTTTCTTCCCAAACTTCAAATGTGTAAGAGTCCCAATTCTGAATTTTTAGCTCTGCCTGCTATATTTTTTCCATAACACTTATCTTCACCTGAAATTAACTTGTATATTTATTTGCTTGTTTGTTTTCTGCATCACCTCTTGGAATGTAGCTTTGTGGGGGGAGGGATTTTATCTTGTTTAGTACTGTATCCCTGGTTCCTAGAGTAGCACCTGGTTATAAATAATTTTGCATGAATAATTGTATTAGAAAAGTATAAATAGATGTTATACAAATAAGGATTTGAGATCTTCATTATTAAATAAGTTTCCTGGTAGCTAATTGAACATATTTAATTGAATGTATTTAATGTGGTTCTTGCCTGATACCATAATATGCTAATGAGCATTGTGAAATTTTACTTGACCATAAAAACTTTTTTGGTATGGAATATGTCATGGCTTTTCTGAAGTATTCTTCAGAAAACTCAAGCAGCTAAACTGCTTGACACCCTAGCAAAATTTAAACTCTAGCAAAAAAATAAACCCTGGCAAAATTTTGGAGTGCTTTATTAAGTAGAAGTTTTGCCACCACTTAGAAAAGTAAGTGATGATCACCAAGGCTCAATATGAATTCACTAAGGACAGATTATGTTAAAATATCCCCATGTGTGCTGATCATAGGGTTGTATTTTTTTTGTTTTGTTTTATTGGAATACCATTCTACTGGAAGGCCGTGGTAATGGTATTCCTTCACAACAGTGAAGTTGTCAGCTGGGTTTATCATGATTTCCCTTTTCTGAGAAGTTGAGTGGGTTGTCGGGATCTTGTGATCAGATTGTCACTTAAGAATTTATGTCAAGATATCAGGCACAGTTGAGGTCTGTGCCCTTGGGGAGAATCACCTACATAGTGAGCTGTTTGTTATCATCAGTGCCACACTAAATCTCAGGTGGTTACCAATGATCAGGAAAGACATTTCCAGGACTGGGTGATAACAAAGCTTATAGAGATAGCCCTGAACACTAAACCCAGGTGGGCAAGGTAAAGAAAAGGAGGCATGGGATGGGCCTGGACCCAGGAGGTTCCCTTCATATAATATTAAGTTCATAGCCAGCCCTAGTTCATTAATGAACAACAGGCACATCCTTAAGGAAAAGGCACAGAGGGTGACAAGAGTGCAGGAAGCCAGGGAGCACTTAGTAGGTCTTCCAGAAGCCGATAGGGCAGACAAAACAATTAGTGACCTTGGTGCCTGTGGTCACTTTTGGTAGGAAAAAGGTCAGGAAGCAGAAGGATAGTCTAAACCAATGACGTTGGCACCACCTGGCAGTTTGTTTGAAATGCGTGTTTTGGGGGCCCAAGGATCTGTGTCTCACCAAGCCCAGGTGCATGCTCAACTTTGAAAACCACCGGTCAATGCAAGAGAAACAAGCCGTAGCAACAGATAAACTAGAAACACACCCCACTCGAGGAGCTTCTTAAATCTCTTCCTTGCTGGTGTGGGATCTAGTGCCTGGATGTGATCTCTACTTGGTCTGAAGGTCAAAAAAATGATAATGAAAATAAGTAAAAATAATAATAATAGTAATAGTGCTATAGCTACATGTACTGAGTACTGATGATGCACAAAGCAGCATGCTGAATGCAGGCTTAGTGGATTTGAATCCTCTTAATGACCATGTGAGGTAGAGATTGCTGCCATCCCTGCTGCAGCCAAGGATACAGAGATCCAGGCCCTTCTGAGTCAGGGGCTGCGGCCCTTAAGTGATCGGTCAGGTTCGCAGTAGGCAGTTTGACTGCAGGGCACTGGTGTGGAATACCTGATTATTCCACATACAAGGGAGGTGGTGGGTGGGTGGATAGAAGAAAGGAAGAAAAGAAGGAAGCAGAGCAGAAAGGAAGGAAGAAAAGGAAGAAAGGAAAGGGGAAAGAACAAGAGGAGGGAAGGAGAGCTGCAGGTTTGGGAAGCAAGGGTCGAGTGAAGCCTCCTTCCAAGGGGGGCCCTCTCCTTGTGCTGTGGCATTTTTCTGGTCTCATCTTGAAGTCAGCCAGCCTGTGTCCTTCAGCATATTCCAGCCTGAGCCCATCCTCCATTGCTTTCTCCTAAGACTTTGTTCCACGGGCGGTTTGCAACTTATGTTTCCTTGTTTATTTGTTCCCCTTGTCTCCCTATGCTCACGCCATCTTTGTAACTTAAGTATACACTGTCCCAGTTGCTGAACAGTCTATGACTACCTTCCATCATCAACTGGAGAATATTCTGGCAAAAACGTGCCCTTCTTTGGGGACTGTGCACTCGGGCTGATGCGAGGCTCCTCTGCGTTCGTTCACCTTGGACCGCCTTGTTCCCTGCCTCTGCTTTAATAGCATATCATTTTTCCCCTCTGTGTGCAGCAAAGCCACAGGGACACTTCATCTCACATTCTTCAGAGGCCCTTTGGAAGCTCAGAGCCTGATCTCTGTAATCAAGAAGGGGTGGGCGTGATCAGGGACTAAGTTTGATTCTTTGTCTGCCTCTCTACATTTAGGCTTTTCATTTTCACATTCCTCCCCACGGTTTGTAATAAACGCAGGAACATAGCTCAAGGGCAGGAATGAGGTTTAACTTTAGCCGAGGTACAATAGAGGCTATTTGGAAAGTAAAACTTTCAAATGGCGTTTAGCCTTGAAGAATATATTGAATTAGATATGCGATGTGCCTTGATTCATGATCTCTGCATAACAACATTGCTATGACTATTACCTGGGGGCTTTCATAGACTGGAGACACAGGCTTTTTAATAGATCGAACTCACAAAAGGAGCATGGATGCTCATGAAGAGTGTGGGGGCAAGAGCCACAAGCCCTGGGTTCCTGCAGGGACGCTGTCACCTCCTGAGGGGCCTTGACCACTTCCGAGGGTAGATTTCCTCATCTGTAAAGGGGATCTGAGAGTAGAAGTTGCCTCATGGGATTATTCAGAGCAGTACATGAGATCCATGCTAAGCATAGAGCTTTCTTATCACAGTAAGTAAATGTTTAATAAAGGAGGACTATTTGTATTACTGTTAAATGATTTTTATTTGAAAACCATGATTCTGTAACTTGGCCCACACTCTTTGCTACTCTCACTTATTTGCTCTTACACAATTCTCTGTTGGCCAATTTTGATTTCTTGTCCCTTTCAGAGTCCCTGTAGTCACCTTTTTAAACCATGCTGTCACTTCAAAGCACTGGCTAACTACAGCCAAGACTGACAGCTATGGATAATTCCACAGACCCCCCAAAACACTCTGGCATTTCACTCAAATTGTCATCCATGCCACCACATTTTTCTCTCTTGTTTTGAGCCTCTCTATTCTCCATGGATTTCAGATACAGTTACTGAAGGTGAACATCATCCTCCTCTGAAAACTAATCCAGCAGGAACCAATGTGGAGTAATTGGGCTTCATGGGAGCATCACTGTCAAGTCTCGAAATATATGGGGAGATAATCACATTTCATTTTTTTCTCTCTCGTTCATTTTCAGCATGTTCACGTCCACGTTCTTCCGAGGAAGGCTGGAGACTTTCACAGGAATGACAGCATCTATGATGAGGTGGGTCTGTTCTCTCTGATCTTATTGCGTGATCACAGGGGCTGTCGGTATGAAGAAATCAAGCTGATGAACTAGGCACCACCCTGATATATGGGCTTACATGGGATTCTACCCAGTATGACTTGGGAAGTGACAGTAGAAGCCAAGGAGCTGAGAATGGCCATGACAGGAACCAAAGACAAATGAATTATAATGATTTTCTTTTTCAAATGAAATGTGGCAGAAAGCAAGTGTCCTTGTGATTTCCACCCTCTCATTTACCAGGACACTAAATATTGTGTGGCAATATGGCCCAGAGTCTCCACAGGAGAAAATCTATAGTGCTGCTGACCAATGGAAATCAAGCCGACTCGTATATTATTTTTCTAGTCAGATGCTCCATTTAATTTTAAAGACCCTTTGGACCTCAGCTTGTCTCTCCTAATAGCACTTTTTTTTTTTTAAAGATTTTATTTATTTATTTGACAGAGAGAGACACAGCAAGACAGGGAACACAAGCAGGGGGAGTGGGAGAGGGAGAAGCAGGCTTCCCGTGGAGCAGGGAGCCCGATGCGGGGCTCGATCCCAGGACCCTGGGATCATGACCTGAGCTGAAGGCAGACGCTTCACGACTGAGCCACCCAGGCGCCCCACTCCTAATAGCATTTATTCAAAGTGAAACTTTGAATTATCATCAGCAGAACCTAGTTGGCTTGAATGAAATGAGTGCCGCCCATGTATTATAAACATTTTAGCAGTTAACTGATTTCTGGATATTTCCATTAAAAAATATAAATGTGAAACCACTTATAGAGATGAAGTAGCAAGGTGATCTGCTCCTATGGTCTCATCTACCTGAGAAAGCTTCAGGGGCCTGTGTGCACTATGTGGGGTAAATATCCTATAATGGATATGCTGATGTAAAATATTAGACGATAATTTTAGTTTAACTGCTTATTCTAGCCAGGGAAGGGCACATATGTTCCCCAAATGATCAGATGGCAGGGGTGCCCTGAGTGCTTGGTTGGAAAGGGATTTGAGGCTGTTTCCGGATGAAACAAAAACAAATGCTGTGATTGATTAGCAGTGTCTATCACAGGTGTCAGATAGGAAAGAGGTACCAATTTTGCCATCTTTTTGACACTACTATTCTAACCACTTGTTAGACGTTTAAAGTACATTTTTTTTTTATTTTGGTTGTTCATCATGTGGCTCTATCCCTATGATTATCTCCACCTGGTTTTATATTTGTAGGGTGTTTTTTTTTTGTGTCTTTTTCTTTTTTTGTATTTGTAGTGTTTTTTTTTGCAGTAACTATGTATTAAAATGGCTACCCAAACCCTAAAAATAAAGAATGGGAGGTCATCAGTTAATAATGAGACTTACAATTAATTTTTCTGGGACTCACTGGATCCTCGGCAGTGACTGGTGATCATGCTTTTGGGATATCCCTCACTATATTATGCCTCCTGTGAGCTGCAATAGGCCTGTGCAGAGTGGAAATGTTCTAGTTACTGGTTCCTAAGTACTGGTTTTTGGACCAATTGCTGCAAATCTCCATTCCCCATAGATCCCATCCCTAGAGCTTCTGACCCAGTAGATTGCAGGGGCACACTGGAATCAGTAATTATGGGAGCATAAGAAAGTGCCCAGGAGATTCTGATCGTGGCTAGATTTGGGAATAGTCTCTCTCCCAAATTTGTGCTTTCTGAAAGTTGTATCCTATAATATTATAATTTGAACTCCTTTTCATGAGATGTGGAATGTGACTTGGAGTTAGTAAGGGCTTAGTTCAAGTTGGAAGAAAATCAGAATTATGGAGTAATTATAGAGAGATGCATTTTTAAAAAATATGAGTACTGATCTTATTAGCATAAACTAAGGTTAATAAAATGTTGCCAAGTACAGGCTATTTTAATGAATAAATTAGCACATGATTTATATACAAGTGAATACTGCTAAAGTGTTATTAAAAGTGCTTGAAAACACTGTTTTCTTAGGCTGAACTGTCACCTTGAAATCTTATTTATATTCCTAATGTGCTCATGACAGGAGCTGTGGGCTGCATTTCAGCCCAGTTTGAGACATGATGTCCAACGCTGAGGTTGGCGTGTGGCCTTTCTCCCCTCCTTTACTCTTTTGCCCTTGTGGGTATGCTCTCACAGCGTCTCTAGCCCCATTGATGAGGCAACACATGTTCCTGCTTCTCCCTATTTGGAGAAGCATCTCTGGAGATGGAATTACTATAAGTGTTCTGTTTTTTTGTTGTTTTGTTTTGTTTTGTTTTCAATTAACTGCTAAGTCATATAGTATAGACAGTACCCACTAAGGGAGATTGTGGTATAAAACTATGAAGTGATTGAACTTCAGAGACAGACCGAATTAGGTTTAAATCCAAGTGTCACCTGCTAATTTTGTGACATGGGGCAAGTCACTGAAGCTCTATCTTTAAAAATGGAGATAACACCCTTCAAAGGCTCATACGAAACATATGATATACCGTACCTAAAAAGTTCATTGCGGGGATTGTATCTACTAGGCATTGATTGATAGGTAGTGGTTCTGTTCTTATTGTGATCATTAATTTTGTTTCTAAAAGAACTTGCAGTTGGTGGGTAAAGGGAGAACTTAGATGCAAAGCCACGTCATTGGATGCTTCCATTCAACACTCTTTTCAAGAGTCAGATTTCCAATTTTTCCTCTGCCTTTCACTACTCATTCTCAGATTCATCTTCCTCTTTGTACAAAAATATACTTTTCCAGTTTCAGCACATAATAAGATAATGTCTAGAAACTGGCACAAGGAGCATGAAGCATTGCACAGGCATTATTGGTACAAGACATAATGTACATTAGACTGAGTGATCTTAATCAGAAATGATAGAGTGATGAGGGACAGCATTCTTTATGCTGATGGGAGCTCTCACTCTAGATTATATATCTGTCCACGAAATACAACAAACACACTTGCCTTGGAGGGTGGGGAGTGGGAACAGGGACAAAGGAGATGGGGCTCAATAAAACGCAATTGTGTTTCCAATACTGCGGAAATAGAACATGATGCCTAAAGAAGCCCTAGATTATAAATCGGCTAGGAATGTGGTGTTCTCCCTGGGCCCTGTTTCAAGAGAGAGAGTGACAAACTAGAGAAGGTTCACAGAAAGGTGACTGGGATGGCAGAGTCTGGACATGGTGATGGAGATATTTTGTCTGGAGAAAGGAAGACTTGCAGAGGGAAAGCAGTGACAGAGTCACTGTTTCTAAATATTTGCCAGTAGGTGGGAAAAGTTAAATGATCTGTGTGTCTCTGGCGGGGATGGGGTGGAAATCTAGGGCTTTGGGGCTAAAAGGAGCCAGATATCAGCTCCACGTAACAACAGATCAAATTGATAGAACTTGCTGAACACTTACAGTGCCTTGTATGTGTGTGTGTGGTTGGGGGTGTGTGGGGGTTTCCCTTTCCCAGATCCATGCAGGCACAGAGTGGATGGCCATGATTCTTCAGGAGGACTTCTACATCCAGTCCTTGGAGGGACCCCTTGGTTCTAGGATTCCAATCTTTACAAATCTGACCCATTGGATCATTACCTTTATTTTTCGGTTATAGGCAAGTTCTGTAACAACTAGTGTGAGTTGTTGTTGTAGTCATCAGAATAAGCACTTGGGTTACTGCCTAATAAACTTTTTAATGTAGGTCATAGAAATATAAGTGTAGCTCTCCTCTGAGTTATGGGTGACCAGGCTCTATTGACTTTTCTCATTCTCAGCCTGCTTCCTACTTTTCCTCCAGATCACTGTTGCATATTGATGGTCCATGGGCTCTGCTTGCCTCCACATATGTATTTTATTTTGCCTGCAAAGTATTTTTTAATGAGTCTGAATGCTGTTGGGCATGTCACTCATTCTTCAGGTCACTGCATCTCCCCCAACTCCCTGTCTTTTACCAACACCTGCTTCACATGTTTATGATACTTGTCTGGCCGCTAAAGGCATTTGAGTTTGAGATCTCTATTTCCTGGGCTACCCTTCTTCCTTCTACCACTCAAATGTCACTATTCCACAGGACTGTTTGTCTCATCTACTGTGCATGTCACTTCTCTGTAACCTCCATTTTACTTCCTTGGTTACTCGTGTATAGTGCTATGGCCCTGGGTGAGTTCTTTAACTTCAGTTCTGTGTCCTGCCTACCTCTCCAGCCCCTGTTAGTTTCACTCTCTCTCACTCCTTGCTTTTGTCAATTATATTATTCTTGTTCCCACCTCAGGGCCTTGGCACCATTATTTTCTTTGCCTATAACCTCAACTGGCTTCGTGTCTTCATCCAAATCTCAGCTCAGATGTCAGCTTCTTGAAGGGTTCTTTTCATGGATATCCCAACCCATCTAAGATAGCTCATCTCTTACCTCCTCCACAATAATTCTATCATATTACCGCATTTCCTTCCTTAATAATTACCACACTTGAAATAATTTTTTAGTTTAGTATTCAGTGCCTGTGTTCCCAATCACACTGTAGAGACTTGGGAACAGGGACCTAATCTGGTATGGAGGCGGTCTCCAAGAAATATTTGTTGAATGAATGAGTACATGAGGGAATGAGGTGTTGAACTAGAAGAACTTGACATTCCCTACTAGTCCTAGCATAATTTAAAGGGAGAGAATATCTTGCTTTTTAGGGGGTCAATTTATTAACTTGTAGCTACATTGGGTGAGATTCTGACATGGTGATGTCAGCCATCTGAAGTTAATTTAGTGGAGGATTTATGGAACAGAATCTACTGGTCAGAAATCAGTGTGCACTCAGCTCCAAATTGTCCCATGTCAGAAGGACGGCGAAGTAATTATAAACCTTGTCTGATTGCTAAGGAAGTCTGGTAGGCACATGTCAACGTTAATAAGTTAATAAGTCACTTGCTTCCCCCAAAATGTAGACTCACGTTTCTGTAACAAATACAGATGTGGGATTTGCCGAAAGCAGGCTCGAGAGTTCTCTTCCTTTCATTTTGACCTGCATTATCATCTCTGGGGTTATCTTTATCTGCTCTCCAGCTTTCTGTCCCAAATTTATCTTTGTGCATTTTGTTAGCTAATTTATCTT